CAATTCACACAACACTTGAAACTGTTGATAAAATTAAATTATGTCATAACAGCATGGAACCATAAAAGCCAATGTTAATGGCAATGTTTTACACAACATGTATGACCAAAACTTTGGTACTCTCAAGCATTGAGCATAAATTGTTTTTAACTAATATGCAATCCAGATTGCTCTTAATGCCAACACTCTTCAAGACAAACTTAGATTCACAATCCTTTAGTTCTTCGACATCTTTTCCTTTTATAAGCTCAAACATCTCATAGGGTGGTATAAGCACTTCTTTCTCTGCAGGATAAGCTGAATACTCTTCTATTTTAGCGCCATAGCAAGTTGTGATTTCAAAGCAGGTCTTATTACCATAGTCTTTCTGGTCAGGTGTCAGAGAGCTAGATGCAAAGCTACCAAGTCTTATTTTGTCTTTATCCAAATTAAATGTAACTTCACTTTTATATCGTCTGTAAGTAGTATGGCATTCCCTTTTGCCAGCTTTTTTTAATTTCTGTACAGCAGATACAAGCAGGAAATATAACATGTGGAACTCAAATGAATTATCATACTTTTCTTTACCATCCCTGACTGCAGAGTTAAATATTCGATACACTCCGTTTTTATGTTCTGTGTAGACACGGATTGCGTCCAGTTCCTCCTTTGTCAGAATATGGTCATCCTTTTTTATTTTGGTTTCTTCATTGGCCCAATATTCTTTCTTTTTCAGTTCTGTAAAGTACTTGTTAAAGACCATTTTCGCCATCTCTTCTGTACAATTGCTGAACATGTCATCAATCGAATTTTCATACATTCCTAGCTGCATTTCAGACCTCTGCAAAAGAAGGAAAGGGGAAAAAACTTTTGAGACAGGTTGCATCATGTTGCAACCTATATTGGTGACTGTTTTTTCACAATCACCAATATTAATTAAAAAATTATATTTGTTTTCTGGTAAGCAACATTCACCATAACATTTCTACTCCCTGGGCAGATTGTGCACATAGAGAACATGCACATTCCACATAAAACTCCTTACAACACTCCTACATATGGTATTTATATGTTGAAAAATTAAATGCAGAATAATTCTGTCAAAAATAAAGTATTAAGATGAAATTGACACAGGAACACAATAAAAAAATGAGAATAATTCTGCCCCAAAGCATAGTAACTTGAATAGCATATTTTAGGTCGTGAAATAAAACAAGACATTAAATATTTCCTATAATTCTTAAATATAAATTTGTGATAACATTTTTGGACCATCAGATTTTTGACTCACTACTCCGTTGAATTGCCCCCAGCAGAGAAGACAGAGTGAAATAAAGATCAACATGTTCTCTTTTTTCTCCTAAAGAACAAAGAATACAATTCATAAATTATTTTCACAAACACAAAAATAAGCTACTTATATTTTACGTGAATAGTATTTAAATTCACTCATGCCTATGTAAAGGTGATTTATGCCAAAAAGAATGAGGACTTCTTAAATTTAGAGAGCCGTCTCAAAGTGTGAGTAATGAAGTCCAGTCAGAATATATACCACAGCAAATATGAGTCATGGAAATTTCAACTGTTCATTTGGAATCTTATCTGCCATTGTCAATGTTGTCAAACAGAACAGTCAAATAACTAAATTTTCATACAGAAATTTTATTGTAATGTGAATGTAATTTGTGTCAGAACAGTTTTATAGCATAAAGTTTCTATCAAGCCAAAAAAACGGAAAAGAAAAATAACCCTGCTTGTTGTAGATTTTGGCAAGGTATTCAGTTTGAATTTTGCTTTCAAATAGTCCATGGGCCAGAAGCCAAAATTTCACATCGATATTTTTTGAAAAGATACATGTCTCTAGTTAATATTTTGGTGTGATAGCCTTTCCAAAATGGTAACTGAGTCATAGTTATCAACTCATCAAGTAAACAGCCCCTTTGGACAGTGAGAGGTTCTGATCAATTTGTCAAGATAATGGTTGCACTAAAGTTTTTTGCTTACAAAAGTTTTCGTATTTTAGTGGAACCATCACATTTGGTAAATTTGGTGTAAAATCATTGTAAGATTGTTTTGTTTTCTTTGCATAATTTTACCTTTGTTTAATCCAGTTCTGTATTGGGAACCATAAGGACACTCAAAAAAATTAGTGTCAGCAAGTGAGATTGAGCGCAAAAAGTCATGTTGAAAAGTTTAGCTTTTTTTTATTAACATGTCACATACTATTTTTTCGTTTATTCTTACCGTCTTAATTATAAACCAAATTCAAACCCTTTCATAGTTTTTACATAATTGTTAGAGACTCTGTGCAATCCTGACACCAATGCACCAACTGCATGTTCTTGCATTTTCTGAAGATTATAATCAGGTATATTTATTTGTTGTACATCTTCTTGTCCCCCTTTGTGCTTTTATAAAAGCTCTGTGAGGCAGAGGAAACGTTTGATTCCTCTGAATCATACACATATTAATGGGATTTACTTGGGAGTATTGGCCTGCTTATGCCAGGAATGTTAATGAACCAAATTTCTGTGAAATGCAAGTGTTGCAATATGACTTACAAAAAAAAATTTCACAAATGCCAGCTATTGACAAATCATAACTATGATTATTAGCAGACTTGGTTGAGACTGGATAAAGTAGTACTGCAGAGGCTGCTCACGCTTTCCCCACCTATATTTGTATAAACAAAAAAATGCTTGTAATAAAAGCAAGGAAACATACAGATAATCAATGAGGCTCAAAAGTGTTTAATATAAGAGGACAAATGATTCAGTACCGTATCACTGAAATAATGGATTTTGATATTTTGACCCTTTCTCTTCCATTTAAACTCTGAAAGAAAATAATCTCCATCCAGGGAAAAAAAAACGCAGCCGTCTGTTTTCATAACTGTCTCAGAGGTGACGCTCAACCTCTATATATACACATGTAATAAAACAGACTTCAGTTCATGCAGCGTTTGTTTCGTTCTCTGTTAAATAAAGACATTTATTTCTGTCACAGATGCGGGACTCTCAGTTGTCTTCAGCACCGGTCGAATCCTTCAACCGCTCCACACTGTTGTAGTGCTCTCCTAGACCGTAGGCATGACGCATATATCTGTAAACAACAACAAAATATATTCTGTGACTGAGTAGCTTTATGTGCACTCCTTTACACACTATGAGATGGCCATTATGCTATCAGTTGTTCATATTTACATGCTGTTCAATCATGCATTAACAACAGCTAAGGCAGATATTATTGGAATATCACTACAGATAGAAAATTTTTCTCAGAGCTGCTGTGCATCAAAGTCATGAGAGATACAAAATTTGCATTAAAAAAAGCTACATTTAAATGCAGAAAACCTGCAATGAATGCTTTCCTACAACGGATGCAAATCTAGTCACACTGTTTGATGCAGATGTAAAACATTTCTAACCACACTGGTATCTCCTATTGAACTGTTTCCCTTCTGTTTAAAGTGCGATTACGGAGTAATAATCTTACACAAGAGTGATGACTTCGCCATCGTATTCCTCTCCAATCCTGATTGACGGGGAGTCGGCCTGGATCACTTCTATTGGCAGATTTAGCACCTGAGTCAAAGCTCGGAGCTGTGGACAAGAGTAATACGAAATGACTGAAAAGCAGAAAAACAACTTAACTGCTCTAAATGGATATGTTTTCCTAAAAAAAAAAAAAAAAAAGACAAATAAAGCTGCAGAGTAACTCACTTCCAGCTGGCCGCCCCAAGCTGCTGTGTGCTCCACATCGCTGCAGTATTTCTCAAACTCGTCTGGAAACAAACACAAAAACGTAAACATTTATTTCGTGGTTTACCTGCACCTCCGTCGGTATCATCGTGTAGTAGAGCCAGAGGGACGTCAGGTACCTGTTGTGAACATGTCCCCAGTGTTGGGGTTAGTGAGGAAAGGCAGAAAGTCGTCGGCATGGTTCCTCATGTGCTCAGCAGTGCGGGATCGGAGCTCCTTCACACTCATCTTTATCCCAGGCTGAGAGAAAACAGAAGAATTATGGCAACGTGTTTTTGCACTGAAACAAGTATGAATGGTGTATAAAAAAAATTCTCCAAATGGGCATTTCAAATGGGGAAACTACAAAAAGATCATCGATTTTTTTTGCTTAGTGCATGTCTGATTAGATAGTCAAATAATTTCAATATTCCGTTTACATAAGCCACCTTTAATCGCTGTGCTAGCTGATCTTCAACGGCACGGTACATGCAGTGTCCGTCAGATGAAATCTCCTTTATCTGAAGCCGTCGCTTGGCAAGTTTCTCAGCTAGCTTTAAACCCTCCTGGTGCCTCACGCCCTGCAGGTTCTGCACCTCCGCCTCTGCTATCCTGCTCTCTCTCTCCTTCTCCTGTGCAGCCTTCTTGTCCTGGAGAGAAATGTTCATGCAAAAATAACCAATTTAACACCAGCAACACCTCAAATGGAAGCAATAGATAAGTATTTAGGGTACTAAACTCTTAATTTTACTTAAACTAAAAGATAACTGCACTTTAAGTACATTACAGACCAATTTATAGAACGTGTGTACGTCCATGTATACCAGTTTCATCGGTTATAACACAGTAATACTTGAAAGCCTTATAAAAAGCTTCTCACCCTTCTCTTCTGTGCTTTAGTGACTCGTGGCTGTTTTGCCTCTTCTTGTTCTCCGCCTTCCAGCTTTATGGCCTCCACACCGTTCACCACTTCCTCCACCTGGTTAAGGTGAAGAAGGGGAGCAGAGGTTATTTTATTGAGGTTGGTAATGAGTCGGTGTGACAATATTATCTGAGCAACTGTTTCTTTTGCATGATGTTTAAATAATATGTCACGTATTGTAAAAGGTAGCGTATTAATTATTTTGATGAGAGATAAAAAGTCATGTCTGAAACATGCTTCAATATTCAGAACACATGAACAGTTTTTGATGAGTCAGTTGTTGTGAGTAAAGAAGTTACCTTTGTTTCAGCGTCAGACTTCATCTGCTTGAGTTCCTCCTCATGCTTCTGACTGAGATCCGACTCTAGCTTTGCTATTTCCTCCGTCAGCTGTTTCCTCCTCTTCTTGTCATTTTTAGGGACGGAGTTTTTCATACCCTGGATCTTTGCTGAAAATAAAGTGCATTAGTACAGCTTTCTTGTCAAAGAGTTTACACTAAAAATAAATTATGTCAACTTTATATTACTCTTTACGACATAAAAGTTTTACCAAGCTGAAAAGCTAGAACTTTTTATAGGAGTGGTTAAACAAAAACTGAATCCACATGTCGATTGCTATGATACAAAGCGAGTTTTTACTGGAAAAAGGGGACAAGCTAAAGGTTTCTGTCCTGTTTTTTTTTTTCTTTCTACTATTTGGGATATTTGAAGTTGGTCTAAAATTATCAACAAACTGCACTAGAACCACAGCCTTGTCTTATACAGTTGCAGTTAAGAAGCAGTCACATTAAAAACTTTGATTATGCAAACTAAGTCACAGCACATTGTCACACCGCTGACACAGAAGAATGACAGCAAGTAAGTGTTGATACCCTGTAGGTCTTTCTTCTCTTTACGGTGCCGCTTAATCAGCAGCTCCTCTGGTGTCTCCTCCTCCATGACTCTGAAGCTGCTGCTTTTCAGCTAGTTCACCAAGCTGACATGAAATGTACGAATGCCGTTGCACTTAATGTAATGAAGGTCTTATGAAAAATATCACATTATAGTCAAGAAGATTAAAAATGCTAAGCCAGTGACTAATAAAACGCGGTATAATGGCCCTACGGAAGCTACGGTGAAGATAGGCGTCAGAATTCTTCTTCTCCTTGTCAAAAACAAAAGGTGTAGCTAAACCGCCACCTGCTGGATATTTCATGTACTTCAGCCTTCAGTTTATTTTTGTAACATTTTAAATTATATCCATTAAATATGGTTGATGAATTGACCCTTAAAACACATTGCAAACCCACTGCATTTTATTTTGGAAAACAAAAATGAGCTTCATTTTCTTTCAATTAAAATGTCGTTCTTTGTTCAGCTTAGTCTTTAATGTAAATGCGCAATTCTAGCTCATCCTTTCAGTTGTACAATTTTTAATTTATCCATGTTGATGTTGATTCTTTAGACAAGACTAATATATTGTCAGAAAAACAGCTAATGACCTGTTGTTCTTTATGTATATTTATGCGTGTATATTTTCTGCTTATTCTTTTTTTCTTTATTTTTACTTTTGTGTGAGAATGAATGCTCAACTCACTGCTGTGACACTTGAATTTCCTTACTGTGAGAGAATCATAATTATTTCTAAATTTTTTTTTAAAAAAAGCAGCTTAAATGTCTAAAAATAATGGCAAGCCTATATTTCTGTTATTGTAATATTGTTTTAAGATCAGACTTTTTCTCAGTAAGCCTCTGACTGTATGAGCTGCATCGCTGGTGTCGCCGGGCCGACGTACTGTGTGACGTGGCGCAGAGCGGAAGAGCTCGTTGTGTGTTTTGGTTCTAAGGGGAAGTTGCCAGAAGAAAGAAAGGAGGAGACGTGACGGGATTGTTGAAATTGTTTTCTCGGCTCCCCGTACCAATCTCACCGCAGTGCCCCGGATTCCGTGTGTATTACACACCAAAGTGGTGGGAGTAAAAGTTCCCCCCATCGTCTGGCTCTCAGGTAGCGGACATGTTGGTGTTAGCAGCTGGTTGAGTGTGATTAGCGCTAACGTTGTCTCTGTTGGGTCTCCGTTACCTGACTCCGGCTAAAGTCTGTGATGTTTGATAGCCACGGATCATACAGACTTATAGGTCTTAGTCTGGTTCAACTGAGTGTTGTTGTCCGTAGTGTGTGGTGGTGTGGTAGCTTTGTAAACCTCTGGTTTAGGTAGTTTTAGGACAAAAGCGCTCGTTTAGTTACCAGCTTAAAGGGTGGGTGGAATGCTAACAATGCTAGCATGCTACTGCTAAGGGTTTGGCAACTCCCGTTTAAGTGCCGTAACAACCTTAGCAATTAACATCCATTTTACATAATTTTATTATATTATTGCTTTATTTTTTTACTCTTGTGCATTTTTGTGGGATATTATTACATTTGCCAGTGGTTAAATTTGTTGTCAAGTTAGCATTCGATGGCAGTATGTTAGCAATGTGCAAGCTAACCAAGCTACATTTGGGAAAGGAGTCGCTATCCAATATCAAAACAGACTCAGAGCCACAGCTAGCATGAGCCAGTCTGTTTACAGTCAACGATTGACTGTTAAGTGCGCCTAATGTGTGAGCACAGCAGTCGTGCATCGTTTGTTGACAGTCCTTGTCCGGATAAACAGACAGGGACTGTCTTCTTGCTGCTCTTCCTTGTGTGTTCATGTTTTCTAATGCTTGTGTTTTTAGACATTCCTCCTTAAAATTTCCCTTTGAAAATGAAGCTTGCATTTCTTTCGAATAGATCCCCACAGATAATTTGTCTATGAAAATCATCTGGCTATTTGTTGGCAATTTTGACTTTTAAGTGTGACCTCCAATCCACTTGTCTTTTAAAATTGACAGAACATGCCAATGTCTTTTAATTGTATTAACTAGAACAACAACACTCCATGTGGAAGTTGTTATTGTGGAAAGAAGACTCAATATTTTCAAAATTCCTTATTACTGAGGTGTCAGAAGAAGCATAGAGATCTGAGAAGCTATTGAAAAGGGAACTAATTTAATTGAAATGTGTGCAGTTCATCCATTGTAGCAAGAGAAAGTTAGACTAAACAGATAACAGGAAGGCTGAACAGACATGTCATCTTCTTGTGAATATGCAAAGACGCTTGTTTTGCACAAATTGCTAATATAAAGCCAGTTTAAGATGTCGACTCAATGATTTTGTATTTCTTGTAAGATAGTTGTAAAAATCTGTTTAGCAACTGTTTTTTACCCTCGCTCCTAGCATATATAATGACAGATCACTGAAGAAATACTTGAAAACACACTTTAAATACTGATCTTAGATCTCTATTATATTGATGCCCTTAACTAGAAAAATTGGTCAAAGCTTTTCCAAAACGAGACATAGAGAATCAGCCATTGTCTATATAGTGTAATAAAAAAATATGTTGTAGTTCACTCCTTTCACTAACTCACAGATTATTGCTGGAAACAGAGTTCATGTGATGGCCACTTAATAAACTAATAAAGTATTTGATATTTAGGGTGGGTAAAATGGCAGTCCTAATTTACCTAGTTTTATTTATTTTTTCTGCTGTCAGTCGAATATAAAAATGCCATTTTTTAAGTGTAACAAATTCTAAATGTTTCGTAAGTTGATAAATAATCTTGTATCATTTCTGTTGATTTTATTAATGGTCAGAAAAGCTTACATGGATATAAGTATTTTATTATTTTTTTTTTATGGATGGACACAAAGAATATTTCCACGTTTGCGTTTACAAAAAAGGTCGAAGCAGTCTGGGTCAAACACTTCTCTAAGAGCAATATCAGCCTGCATTTAGCTGACTTTTTAACAGTACCTGCCAATGTCAAGGGGAGAGCATGTAAAGGTCCAAGTTTGTATTTAAAGGAGTTTATAAACTGCTCCGCATGTCGCTCAGACAAGATTTACTTCCTAACAGCGGCCATGTGTTCCACAGTTGGGATTTATTCCTAAATAAGTTAGTCAGTAATGCATGGTATGCATCTAAACAGTGGCTCTCACAGAGAAAACGGGCTTAAATATTGTGGGTGGGACGGATCTCCTTCTCTTTCCGTCCTGTAATAAAACACGGCTGTGTTTCGTTACAGGATTTTTGTTTCTTTCTCTTAGTCTGTTTGTGTCGGCTTCCTCCTTACTTCTTTGAAAGTGATTTTAGCCCGTACTAGTCGTCAAGTCTATGCTTCTTGTTGCAGCTTTCAGCTCAGTTCATTAGTGTATGAGTCAATAATGACACATAAACTGGTAAAACATGTTTGAGAAAAAGAGACGCACAGCTTGAAGGCATATCACGGAAATTATTCATATTAATCTGCTGTTTTGTTCCAAAGAGATGTTTGTTTGTGCTTGTCAGTTTATTTTCTGGAGAGGCGCCTATATCTGTGTTTCTTATTATTTTTTTATTTTGCTTTGTTCCGGAAGACGTTTGACAGAGGAGACGCCGATGCCACTTAGAGAAATTTAGCCGGAATGTAATTATTACAAATGTTTTTTGCATTCAGTTCAAACTTAAAACTTTAACATCAAGTTTGACCCCGGTCCAGCTTTGAACAAGGTTTTCTGTCAATTTAGTGACTTTTGTTCTTAATTTAAGCAATAAAACCGCATCAGTTTATTGTGACTTTAAAAAAAAAAACTTTCTCTAAATATTTAACTTCCTGACATCTAATATTTGTCAATATGCATAATAACTAATGCATGTTTTTTTTTTCCTACTTGTATAAAAACAATATATAGAGTTAGTCTGAAACAGAGATCAGATATTTTACTCTGATAAAATGTGGAGTTCCTTCAACATGGCTTCTATTTTTATGCATGCTCCTGTTATGCAGCATCAGATAAGTTGCTGCGATTTGCTTCTTTAGTGTTAAAATATCTTAAGAAATCTTAATGGGGTGGTCAGAGAGGTTAATGGTGAAGTTGAGTGAAACACAGCATTCTCTACTGTCAGAAGAATGTCAAACATGCAATCACTCTTCTTAGATAACCAGTCATCCAAAAGAAATAAAATACATCAGTTTATGTTGGTGAAATCCATCTAAGTTTTAGTCATTACTCCAGCATCACCTGATACAGTTTGATTACAGAGGCTTTGAAGCGGCTTTACTGTGAGGATGTTTTAGTTTACTTTTTTTTTTTTAATTTTTATCACTGAATTGGGGTTGGTCATCTGTCAGTGAAGAGGCACACTTTTCTCTTCTTTCGTAAGGATTTTCCTATTATCTACCTGTGTTTGACATATACTTAATGTGGATATCTAATAAGCTATGTTAAAATGTTGTGTACTCGTACATAAACAAACCCTGAAATGTGTTCATGTTTGGAACGTTTTGGATGACAAGTTGTGTTGCGTTCTGAAGTTTAACACGACCATCACTGTGCAGTAAACGGTAAACAGTTTCCCCGTTTCCTGCAGCGGACGCCCAGGTCGTAAAGTTTGGCCCACAGGATAGCAGAGGATCTGATTAGGCCATGGCCAGCAGAGGAGGAGCTACAAGACCCAATGGACCCAACGCAGGAAACAAGATCTGTCAGTTCAAGCTGGTGCTGTTGGGGGAATCAGCCGTTGGGAAGTCCAGCTTAGTGCTTCGCTTTGTCAAGGGCCAGTTCCACGAATTCCAAGAAAGCACAATAGGAGGTAAGTAATCAAGGCCTGTGCTGATATATATGTGAATAATTCACGCAGATGAATTATTCTGAGATCTTCTCATTCTGGAGACTTATCTTAAATGTGGCCAGTCCTTTACGTTTGGATGTCCCCCCAACTCAGCCTGTCACCTCGTTCTGTCCCCTCAGCGGCTTTTCTCACCCAGACAGTGTGTCTAGATGACACGACGGTGAAGTTTGAAATCTGGGACACCGCAGGTCAGGAGCGGTACCACAGTTTGGCGCCCATGTATTACAGAGGAGCACAAGCCGCCATCGTGGTCTACGACATCACAAACGAGGTGCGTCTGTGGAAGCTCTCGGTTTTTGAAAGTTGCTCTGATGATACTTGCATAGATGAAACCAGATTGCTTGCATGTGATTGCAGGATGATGTAAAGCGAGAGTACTAACTCATGGCACATGGTGTGTGTTTTGCAGGAGTCCTTTGCGCGGGCAAAGAACTGGGTGAAGGAGCTACAGAGACAAGCTAGTCCTAATATAGTCATCGCTCTGTCAGGAAATAAAGCCGACCTGGCCTCCAAGAGAGCTGTGGATTTTCAGGTCACGTTGTTACCCACTGAACAATCCTGCAATTAGTCTCTGGGTTTTTGTTTCTTTTTTTATAGACTCACCCATCATTTCATACTTGTTTGTTTCCTAAGAGAAACATTACAAATATTCTGATTGCGTTGCAAAAAGTACTGCAACCGTTCTCGTGTTTTTGTCACTTCACAGCCGCACACTTAGGGGTTAAAATATGAATTTATCTGATGGAACAAAAGATTAACCAGGTCGGGGTTGACGGGAATGTGTATGAAGTTAAATACAGGCCAATTCTGGAAGACAACCTAGTAGAAGCAGATGATTTTAGATGGAGGACATTCTAATTAGGACTATTAGTTACATACTTTAAATCGCTGGAAAAGTGGCAACATAATGCTATAGGAATGGTTTCTTTAGAGGAGACAGGAAAACTGGTCAGAGTTGGTGGGTAGTAGCTGTACCAGATATTGAGTCGTGGAATAAATGCACTCCACATGTTTTAGATTTTCATTTGTAAATTATTTTGATGATCATCAATATGTATGTTGGGTGCAATGATTCTGCAATAGTGATAAATTAGCGATATAGTGCAGCCCTATGTATCATATGACTTAATTAACTTAAGTTTGTGGTTGCAGCATAAATACTTTCTTTCTGCCTTCCATTTTCCTAACACCAGGGCGTCTAAAATCTGGCCTGTGGGCCATTTGAAGGCGACTGAAAGATTTTTGTGTGGCCTGCGAAATTCGGACCACAATTTATGAACAGTTCAAACGTGGTCGGCAGTCACAGGCGTTTGACCACAAACATCCAACTACATGGCTACTAACTACTGCCAGTACTTTCAACTTGATCATTTTGGCAAAAAGTTTGGATATCGCGGGTCTAGCAGCTTATTCTTATTCTCGTCTGTTATGGTAATGTGTCAAGCTATGTTGAATATTCATGCCATTTTCTTTTTACAGGATGCTCAATCATACGCAGACGACAACAGCCTACTTTTCATGGAGACATCAGCCAAGACATCTATGAATGTGAATGAGATATTTATGGCTATTGGTAAGTGATTCTTGACATAATTGATATGGTCATTAATAATGTTACATCTAACATTATGTTAGTTAAAATATAAAAATATATATTGCTTGAGCTTTCTGTTCCTAAAAAAAAAATGCTGTTGTTTTTTTTCTTTCTTTTGCTTCTTTGTTTTCTTATCTTCAGCAAAGAAATTGCCAAAAAATGAGCCTCAAGCTCCAGGAGCTAACAGCGGTCGGACCCGGGGAGTTGACCTGACGGAAGCTGCTCAGCCAGCCAAGGCTCCGTGCTGCTCTACCTAAAATGAAGAACACTCCCTGACCTGTAAACTAGTAACTAATGTGGCCGACGCCCCAGATGCCACTGCAGCTACTAAAGCAACGTGTACCCTTTGTTTGAAACAGAAAAAGATGCCCTGTATCCTCCCTCACACTTTATTTCTTTGTATCTCGGTAGCAAAGTCAGTGCCATTTCACTGATGTCTTTGGGGCTCTGCCTCTTCCATTAAGGTTCTGCTGGTACCTTGAAGACACCTCCTAACCACTCTCTTTTACTTTACACCTTCCGGCTGATTGATGGATCAGCGATCAGATATTAGAAACGTCGGCCCATCCAACATCTTTGATAGGAGTTCAGTTTTGAGGAAAGGGGGGGTCACTTCCCTTTTCTGGAAACTACTGCTCTTATTTCCACCACTCTTCTGCTTTTGGTCATTTTTGGTAGATTTTTTTTGTTGTTGTTGTCGTTATTGGTTATTTAGAATATTTTTCTTTAAGCCGTCATTGCACATACGTGTGTATTTACGTGGGTGAAAAAAAAGAGAAGAAAATCAAACTGTGTTTTACTTTTGGTCTATAGTATCACAAACAAAGCGACAAAAGTTGGAGACAAAGAACCATTTTTTTGTGGCTCTGAGAAAAGGAAAGACGTTGAGTAGAAAGTCAAAGAGGAACCCTGAGATCTGTGTCCCTCTCATGTCTTCAGAACCTTTTCTTCAAAGTTTAAAAGAAACTTTTAAACTCTTGATTCCCTCAGGCTTTCCCTTCATTATTTTAGAATTAGAGCGTATGTTGTATATTTTTCTACCTGTAGTCTCCTCCGAGGGACTGTGCCTGCTTTGTTTTTGCCTCGCTGTGGCATTGTATCATGTTTTGCAGTATTCCTTAAAGCATCGAGTGTCTGCAAGAACCATTGCAACACTTGACAGCCCCCTCCATCCCCTCAGCCAGAGGCCTCTAAGGTACACATCAGCAACCGCTCATCTCTCGTATGTCGTCTCCTTTCGTTAATCCCTTGTCAGCCATCAAACTGGGTTTGGATGATTTTGTTTATGCAAAGAGCTTTTTTTTTTTCCTTCATTATGTCAGTGTTGCTTGACCGCTGCAGGGTTTGCACAGGGTAAAGAAAAACAAAAAAACAAAAAAAAAAAGCAAAGGTGGTGGTTGTGAGTGGGATGCTGCAATATGTGAGGTCTCTTCATGTTTAAAGTGGAATTCTAATTATTTCACACGTGGATTAGGAAGTGCTTTAGACACGTTGGTGTGTCGGTATATTCGAACTTTGCCTGGGCTGGCTGGTGACTGATTTCAACTGTAGACTTATAGTCACATGCACATTACACACACTTGCACAATGGAGCACACACTCACTCTGCAGTTCGTAGACACACAGTCTGTTACACCTCATTCATACCAATGTTAAGCACATTATTTGTGTTTTTCTATGTCCCCACATGTTACACACACATATTTGCACACACATACACATTAGCTATCTAGACTTTTTCTTGTCAATAACTTTTTTACTGGTCTTACTCATGCCTTGCACTAATGATGCTTATGAATTTGTGTTGTCATAATCTCAGTCAGTGTGTTATAAATATATACATAATATAAATATATAAATAATATACTGTAAATATGGTGTTGCGGTGTAGTCTACTTTTTTTCCTGATTTTTTTTTTTTCTTTTTTTTCTAGTGACTAATGCTTGCTAGGGAGTTATCTAGATAATCATTAGGGGTTTAAAAAAAACTGTACAGATAGCAGGAAAACAGCTACAGTTTGGGTTTGGAGTTTTGCTGTTTCTTTTCACAAAAAATGGTTAAATTATAATCAGTGGTGGTCTATATTAATGTATGTAGTGTTATTAACAAAAGTAAAAAAAATAAATAAAATTGCATTTATTTACACTTCTAAAATGTTATACCCAAGCATATTAGATTCTGTTTGTTAAAAATGACCTTTCTGTTGCCTTTTGTTTGTTTGTTTGTTTTTTTCTTGTTAGTATGGTTCATTTATATCCCCAGTAAAGCTGAACTTCCACATCCAGAGCTATTGGTTGGAAAATTTCCCTAAAAATTGGGATAAATGAGATCGGTCTGACAATCCACAGCATCTCAGAAAGCGTTGCTACCGTAATGCAGGAGCGATAGAACAGATGTCAGGTAACCTAATAGGGGTGTAAATTGTATGTTTTCCCTTTTTTTTTTTTTTTTTGTCAACACTTCTTTGCAACAGAACACATTTAAATGCAAGCATTTTACAGTACTGTTATGTAATGACAAAATACATACTGAAATAAATTTGATCATTTATCATTGTAGTTGGGCACTTTCTGTCTGCATGTTCTGTCTGCACAAACGCTGCTGTATTTTATGTGACAGCAAAATTAGTGTACAGCTGAAGGAAATGATGCATGGTTTGCAAAACAACTCAAGATCATTCAGATTGGACAGAGTATCAGGTTCTTAACTGGATTTAGCCAGGACTTTGACTAGGCGCCTCTGTCACTTAAGTGTTTTGAGCTGAACTATTTCATTTGTCGTCGTCCAGTTGGAAGGCGAGCCTGTGCAACAGGGTTTCTTCCAACTTTCCCATCAACTTGGTTCCTGCTGAAGAAAAGCATCCCAATGTTATATTACTACAATGTTTTTGTTTTATAACCTGTTTAAAACAACTTCACAATTTAATCCCTAACCTGTGTTGTGTGTTCATTGGTCTGAATGTGTGATACAGCTCAGGTTATCATCTGATCATCATCTGAGCTGTATGGACTAATTAAATGTCTTTGGTAGGTTATTGGTTGTATTGGGTTTTATTTATGTGTAGCAGAGTCAGGGGTGGGATGGATTTTTAGGTTTTCATTTGTCCAACATTTTAAAACCATGTATCATTAATTAAGTTTTTACTCATTAATTTAATGGCTCATGTAATTGCATTGGGAGGGTTATTCAGTTAATTTTTCCCCCGCTACATACTTGTGATCAGGCTCCACGTTTATTTTTTCCCTCCACCAGATTTGACCTTGAAAATTCCCCACGATTAGCTGCGTTTTTTTTTTTGGTTTTTTTTTCTTTTGCGTCCTCTCCTCTCAGAGTTACAGTCAGTTAAACTGGCCCGTCCAATCCGAGTCCCCTAGCGGAGGAAAATGGGCCTACAGCGAGAAATTGAAAATAAGGATGAGCGCCATGTCTGATCCTCCGCCTGTGGAATAGAGCGGACGGCAGGGCGATCGTGTTCCCCGGGCCTGCGGTCCCTTCTGGCTTTCGGTGAGCAGTCATGGCCGACAGCGTGGGGATTCAACAAGGTTCGCCGGCCGTCGGAGCCGCGGGCCTGGTTCCGGCCGCTCCCGGAGCCGCGGGGACGGAGGGCTCCGGCGCCGCTGGAGGATCTGCACGTATAGCCGCGAAGAAGGCGCAACTCCGCTCCTCACCACGGCCGAAGAAACTGGAAAAACTCGGAGTGTATTCATCCTGCAAAGTATGCTCAGTTTACAGACGGTAGACTTTTAGAGCACTGCAATTTTGACTGCTTAATCCGCACCAAGAGCTTGTTTGGGTTGGTTGCAATAGTTTCTTAAAATGCAAGCGCAGCAAAGGAAGCCATTGCCGAGCATCAGTTTTTTTTTTTCTTTTTTTTTTGTTTTTCTTTTTAAATGTGTACATGCACAAACCAGTGGATGAAACGAACAGTGCTATTTACATAAGTTTAAGTGTTGCATTCGGGCTCTTCGGCAGCGGCCCTGTCGCTGCGAGATCCGTGTTTTTACAGCGCTACCCTGGCTCTGTCAAGGTGGGGGGTGGGTGAGCGTAAACATTGGCTCTGCTTTTTTGGAGTCGCTGGCTGTGAGCAGAGACGCGGTTGTCCCTCTGTGTGTTAGTGCGCGGTTTCACCCAGACTTCACCGGGGCATTTCACCGAGCCGGGGCCGCCTGACAGAGCACATCTGTAGGCACACACAGGAGTTTGTGTTGCTTATGCAGCCACGATCCGCAAAGAGGGACTGGGGTCTTTGTTTTGACAGGGTGACAGCTGCTGGGGTGGGCGGAGTTTGTTGTCGTTCCAGAGCGCATGCTCAGAACAGCCCAGCCCAGCTGACCGCGGTGAGAAGCCTCGCCTGTACACGGCGTTACAGCCATAGCAAGTTTCTGTTTACATTAGGGAATAGATGCACCTCAGCCAAGCAGAATAAGTTTGTTTGTTCCAGTAATGAAGTTCAAACACGGATTCGTCTCACGCGGTGATGCATTTCAAAATTTTATTTTTTTTCCCTGTAATCTAGAGTATACAGCTAATAAAAACACAAAATTCTGTTGCTATAAAAATATGTTGAGATGGACAAAAAAAAAACTTACTCTAAAATCTAGCACTAAAAATTACATTTAAATTTTTAAAAAAAATCTCAGTCCTGTACATTTTTGAGGCAAGTTTTGTAAAGGCACATCTGGCTAAGGTTTCAGAACCCTGGTCTGGAGAAAGAGGACCCCGGTTACCTGAGGTCCAGTCTGATGTTTCAACATGCAGTGTTGATTTGGGGAGTCAAATCTAAAACACAACCAAATAAGAAAAAAAATACAGCACTTCATGCTTTCTTGTACTCACTTGCTTCGAATTTAATTTTACAGTAGGATTTTGCTCACATGCCAAAAAGTACTAATTCATGCAGAAAGAGGCCCTACCAAGTACTGAAAGAATGTAAATGTGTTGATGTACTTTTCACAAGACCTAGATTTCGAAGGTATTCTTATGTAGCATACCTTTTTTTTTCTTTTGGGAGAAACTCAATTTTAATAAGCTGTAAACCACAATCATCAAAATTTAATAGACACTCAATCTACAAATTTCACTGCTTGAATTGAAATACCAAAAAAAAACATTAACACGTGGATGATTTCCTTTTATTAAAATGTATCTGATCACTGCACTGGCATCTGTTCCTGATCGTACTAAACTGAGTCATGTTTTCCACAGGCTGAAGGAGCCTGTAAATGTAATGGCTGGAAAAGTCAGAACCCGCCTCCGACACCTCCTCAAACTGACCAGCAATCCAACACAGTAAACTTGCAGGAACCTTGTCGGAGCTGTTCTCACACGTTAGGTACTTAAAAAACACACACACACACACACACACACATCTACATCTCCGTATTGTTCAGCGTTGATGTCAGTTTCAGTGTTTTCTTTGGTAATAGCTTTTAATGTTTTAATCCTCCTAGGTGATCACGTGACTCATCTTGAAAATGTTTCAGAGGAGGAAATGAACAGGCTACTAGGTATTGTTTTGGATGTGGAGTATCTCTACACCTGTGTTCACAAAGAGGAGGATGCTGACACCAAACAAGTCTACTTCTCCCTCTTCAAAGTAACCAACCGCTTACCTCGTCCGTACTTCGAAGACATTCATTTGCATTGCACAGAAAGCGAACAACACATTGTTCTGTTTCCCCGACAGCTGTTGAGAAAATCTATCCTACAGATGGGTAAGCCGATGTTGGAGGCACAAGAGAGTCCGCCGTTTGAAAAGCCCAGCATTGAGCAGGTAAAATCAAGTCTGGAACTGGAAAAGAACGCTGCACTTTATTAGCGCCATGGCGTCACGTCACTGTTCTCTCATTGTTCAAATAAAAGGGAGTGAATAATTTCGTCCAGTACAAATTCAGCCACCTACCGTCAAAGGAACGACAAACTATCATGGAGCTGGCCAAGATGTTCCTGAATCAGATCAACTACTGGCAGCTGGAAACTCCCTCTCAGAGACGCCAAAGGGTGCCCAGTGACGACGTGGTTGGGTACAAAGTCAACTACACCAGGTTATATTAAGCGGACTTAAATTAGGCATTCATCAGCGCAATGCGATTTCCACGTTATAAAAATGTGTTTGCACGCACTCTACAGGTGGCTCTGCTACTGCAACGTGCCGCAGTTCTGCGACAGCTTGCCGCGCTACGAGACCACGCAGATCTTCGGCCGGACGTTGCTGCGCTCCGTGTTCACTGTGATGAGGAAGCAGCTGCTGGAGCAGGCCAGACAGGAGAAGGACAAGCTTCCTCCTGAGAAACGCACTCTCATTCTCACACACTTTCCCAAGTAAGTACAAGATATGTAAAAGTGTGCACAGAAAAATAGCAGTCATGCTGATGGACCCACAGATTCATGCACATTCAATGGTATTCAACCTGCTGTGGCCCTGAAGTCTAAAGTGATCACACAAGATGACTGATAGCAACTCGGCTTGTTTGTCTTGTGTAGAGACGCAACTAAACAGAAATGACATGCAGAGAGTACCCACTGTGGTAAATGTAAACACCCCCCCACCCCCCAAAGAAACCAAAAACTGTATAAAATTATCGTGTTTTCCGGACTATAGAGCGCAGCATACTACCTACAAATTTTTGGGGAAAAAACAAAATTAAAAAACTGGAAACCTACATATATAAGCCGCTGGTATCTCCACCGCTATAGGTTTTTTCACAAGGACGCAGCAGAGGGCTGCAATAAATCTGCTGGATTTATTAAGGATGCAGCCCTCCTCTGTCTCCAAAGCCGAACCATGGTTTCGTTCACGCCGAGCTTACGTGCAGCGACAATCAATATGTACTGCCAGATCGACAGCCTTCAACTTAAAAGCTGCATCATATGAGTTTGAAGAAATTTCTCTGTCGTGCCTGCTGCTAGGGTGTGTTAAATGAAAATTAGCACTTTCTTCTTTGATTTCCAATTTTGACCTCCAATGATTCACTTCCTGCTAAAGCGCCCCCTGGTGGTTGAAGAAAAATACACAGAAAAGCCACACCGGGCTATAAACCACATGGTTCAAAGCGTGGCAAAAATGTAGCGGCTTATAGTCCGAAAAATACGGCAATGCCTGAACTAGGTCAGACAAGGATTTCATCCAAAAGTATACATAAATGTAACCAGAACAACAACAAAAAAGAAAGCCAATCATTATTTTACCTGATGTGATTTGAAAA